AGGACCTGCCTCCCAGCAAAAGGACATGCAAGTCTTCTTCGAGGAAAAAAGCCTCTAGAAATCTGTTTTTTTAAGGACCATGCAAATATGAGTTCACACCATAGATCCCCAAAACCCAAAGAACAAACAACCATAAGCAAAAACAGAAATAATAAAAATAGACCCCAACTGTATTTGGATATTAGAATTATCATACACCAACATAAAATGGCTATGTTGAAATGTTTGAAGTACTAAAAGGAAATCGGCAAAAGACTATTAAAAAATGACCATATTTATTTAAAAACTTCATAGAATATTTAGAAATGAAAAATACCAGTGTTAAAATTAATGACATGAATCCAATATAGGAATATCTACATTTATGAAGCAAGAAAAGTAAAAAGAAACTCAAACCCAGAAACTTAAAAAAAAATAAAGTATAACACCAAATAAATATTAAAGTCCTTAAAAGAAGTCAGAGGAAAAAAAGACAAGTCACCTAGTCTCCATCCTTAAAAAGAAAGAAAGAAAAAGATAACTGGAGTAGACATTTAAGAAGTAACAACAGAAACAGGAAAATATTTTTAGAGAGATGAGAAAATAATTATAATTATATATCCAGAAACATTATTTTTCAAGTATGAGACTAAAATAATGAGATTCATATAAAAAACAATCAGATCTGCACTAAAGGAACCTCTAAAGATTTATTTCAGAAAAGAAAAATGGTTTTTGAAGGTCTAACAAAAGGGAAATCGAGGGCTAAAAAATTGGTAAAAATAAATGTGCATGTAAACAAATATACATGTAAGATTGTATTATAAAATGTCTCGTCTGTACAGTAAACAAAAAGGCTTTAACTAAAATATTGGTGAAAAACAGCACAGAAGTTGGGAACAGGTGACAGAGTTAAAGGTCCTAAAATTTTATGGAAGGACTGACCTGTGCCTCTGGACTGTAAACTTCTGACAATCTTGTTAGCTTTAACCCTCCTGGTTTGGACAGATGGTTATAGTAGGCTGGGGTAGGGTGATTCCTTTTACTCAAGTCTGTCAGGCTCTAATAAAACTCCAGCAAGTAAAACTCTGGCTGAAGAGTTTCTCCTGAGGGCAGACCTTGTTAAGAAAAGAATGCTCTAGCATATTTCAAAACAGCTCCCCCTCCTGTTAGCACAAGGGGATTTTTCTGACATTCAGTGGGAGAAACTGGTAGAGCTCCCAGAGGTAAAACTCACAGAAGTGTGGGAGGCCACCTGATGACTTAAGTTCCTCGGGAGTTTTGTCCACACTGAGCCTCCAGCAATTTTCCCATTACAGTTCAGGTTTCCCAAAGACTGGTACTAATTCTGGTATGGCTTCTTGTAAGTTGTGATTCTCTCTGCTCTGGTAAGTTGTGATTCTCAGTATTTGCCTATTGGTGCCTCCAAATCTGGGGGTAGTGGTTTGTCCCTATGATGTAACATTTCTTATATATCTAAGAATAGCTGTTGATTTTTCAATTTATTCATCTTTTTACTTTTCTTAGAGAGAAGTGGTGAATGCTAGGCTTCTTATATGCCAGGCATGAACTGTAATATTCTTGGGGGTTCTTTATATATTGGGCCATGTGACCTGTGAATAGATTTTTCCTTTCCAATTTGGATGTTTTTTATTTATTTTTCTTGTTTAATTCCTCTGGCTAGAACCTCCAGTATAATGTTAAATAGCAGTGGTTAAAATGGTCATCTTTGTCTCATTCCTAAACTTAGAAAGTTTTCAGTCATTCACCATTAGTATGTTTAGCTATAGGTAGAGTATGTTCCCTTTTAGTCCTAGCTTTCTGAGAGTTTTCATCATGACAGGATGTTGGGTTTTGTGAAATGACTTACATGCATCAATTAAGATCATGTGTTTTTTTTTCCCTTTAGGTTTTGTTAATGCATGTATTACGTTGACTTATTTTCTTATATTGAACCACCTTTATATTCACGGGATAAAACCCACTTTATCATGGTGTATAATCTCTTTAATATGGTTTTGGATTTAGTTTGGTAGTGTTCTGCTGAGGATTTATGCATCTATATTCATTAGGAATATTGCTCTATAATTTTTTTTCTTGTGATGGATTTAACATGGCTTTGATAGTAGGGCAATGCTGACCTTATAGAATGACTTAGGAAGTATTCCCTACTCTTGTACTCATTTTAAGAGTTCAAGGGGGATTGGTGTTAATTCTTTAAATGTTTGGTTCAATTCATGAGTAAAGCCATCTGATCTGGGACTTTTCTTTGTCAGGAGGTTTCTTACTGATTTTAACTCTTCTCTTACTATTAGGTCTGTTGAGATTTTCTATTTTGTCCTGAGTCAGTCTCGGTGATTTGTGTGTTTCCAGAATTTGTCCATTTCATCTAGGTTATCTGTTTTGTAGACACAGACTTGTTCATGGTATTCTCTTATAATCATTTTGCTTCCTGATGATAGTGATATCATTTCTCATGTTAGTTATTTGTTCCCTCTTTTGCTCTCTATCAGTCTAGCTAAAGCTTTGTCAATTTTGTTGATATTTCAAAGAATCAACTTTTGATTTCATTCATTGTTCTTATAATTATCTAATCTCATTTTATTTAACCCTGTTCTAATCTTCATTATTTCCTTCCTTTTGCTATTCGAATTTCCTTTGCTCTTCTTTTCCTAGTTCCATAAGATATAAAAGTTACGTTACTGATTTGAGATCTTTCTTTTTTTAATTAACTAGTATTAACTTTTATAGCTATAAATATCCCTCTGAGCAGTGCCTCCATAGAATCACATGTGGTGTTTTCATTTGCTTCATCTCTAGGCATTTTTCTAATTTCCCTTGTGATTTCTTCTTTGGCTCACTGGTCATTAAAGTGCCTTGTTTAGTTTCCACATATTTTTAAACATTCCAGTTTTCCTTATGTTATTTATTGATTACTAAGTTCATTCCATTTTGCTGGAGAAGATAGTTTGTATGACTTCAATCTTTTTACACTTATTGAGAGTTGTTGTATGGCCTAACATCTGGTCTATCTTGGAGAATGTCATATGTGCACTTGAAAAGAATGTGTATTCTGCTCTTGTTGGGTGAGGGTTCTACATGTCCTTAGGTCCAGTTGGTTACAGTCTTGTTCACGACTTCTATATCCTTATTCGTTTTCTGTCTATATATGTTCTATCCATTATTAAAGTAGGGTATTTAATTTTCTAACTATTTCTACCTTCAATTCTATTGAAAATATTCTTAACGGAATGAAGATTCCTACAACCTTTTAGAATGGTCAAAACAGGTTTCAATAATGAACATATCTTTAAACCAAGAAATTCCACTTTTAGAAGATATCCTATAGAAATGACAGTATGATAATTATCACAGTTAACACTGATTGAGCCTTTACTTTGTGCCAGGCCCTGGGTGAAGCATTCTAAATGCATTAACTTATTTATTCGGTAGTTCCACTATTATCCCAAACTTACGAATGATACAAGATATTATGAGTGTTTGATCAGTAAGTAAATACTTAAGTGATTAAAGTTTTTACTACAACAGTATTTACTACAGGAAAACAAAACAAACAAAACAAACTACTGGATAAAAAATGGTACTGAGAGAAAAGCTGGATTTAAATTGCACTCTGTCACTTATAAGTACATAGTTTTCTGTGTCTAAATTTCCTCAAATGCAAATCATCTCTTAAGATTTCTTTCAGTTTATACTTTATAATTCTTATCCATTACTCCGGGAAATTATTTGAGATGGTAACATAATGACTTCTATACTCTAATACTGCTCTAGAAGTTTAGGCATACATAGAAGCAACACCTCTATTTTGGAAAGATAACAGAGTGTGCAAGCATGATGAATCAAAAAACAAACCAATCCCCAAAACAAAAGAGATAAAATCTATAGTTTATGTTTATATTTACAGCAGAAAAACCTTATTCACAATTGCTGATATTCAATACAGCAAAAGCAAGTTCTAACCAAACCTACCATATAATTCAGTCATTGATTTAACACATTTATTCAACAAATATTAAATATCTGGTCCTATGCCAGGTTGGTAATATGGTCTGTGTTTTCACTAAGCTAGGTCACAGTTTAGGTGGAGAGAACTTTTGCAAAGAAATAATTACAATTAAGAGCTATGCTGAAGTTATTAACAAAAATCTATAGCAGCAAAGAATAAGGAATGTTCAGTCTTCCTGAGATGACATTCAACTTGATTACTGTATTTGCTGGATGAATAAGACACCAGACTAAGGCATATAGTTACGCAAGGAGTTGGGAGGAGGTGGGGGCTGGCAGTCGGTACAGAGGAAATGAGATATGCAAAGATTAGAGGGAAGAAAAGGCAGACATCATACCCAGAGTATAATTATTACTCTAATAATAAATTATATTGTTATTATAGCCAATAGTCATTAAGCACTTACAGTGTGTCAGCTTACATACATATGTATGTTCACTTTACATAAACTAATGAGATAAGGTTTTACAGATGAGAAGATTAAGGTACAAAGATGTAAACTGTTTTGTTCAGCATTACATAGCTAGTAACTGCTGAGTTTAGGAGTTAAAACCAGGTAGTCCAACTCTAGAGCTGGCACACGGATTTCCCTTGCTAAGCATTTCTGCTGATGTGTTAGCCCATGTCCTTATCATCTCATATCTGCAAAGCTACCTCTGAGACTCTCCTAAATCATCTACAAGGCAGAAGGTCTGGATATCTAAGCATGCCTCCCATGCAGATTACCAATACATCTTATCCAGGTGTGCAGCCCTTCATAAATACTTGAACTCTTTCTTGATCCATGTTTCCTCCCCACTGAACATAACCTTCCCTTTCTGTCCAGCATGATTAGGAGTTTGACTTCATGAGAATGAGAATTAAGAATACTAGATTTGAAGGATAGGTACTTTTTTTATTCTACCCCAAAGAGAATACATAAACTAGCACCACTATTAAAGAGAGGAAAATTAAAATTCTAAACTTGAAAAAAAATGAAATCAAATGATACCTTCAGTCCCTCCAATTCATTTTCCAGTTGCTTAGAATAGTGCTCACTTTGTTCACGCAGTTTCCTGTCTTTAGATGCTTCAGCAGCTACAGTTTCTGTATGAACTTCCAGCTTTAAAATAAAATGAAAAAGGCAGATTTCATGGTTATAACTGTTTTTCTAATGAAATGTTTTTCCCCATGGAAATTTGCCTTGTAATAGGAACATAACTCAAATGTTGAAATCATATTAAATAACATAACTGAACTAAAAAAAACTTTTTTCAAAAATTAAAGAATGAAATATATATTATTGCACTAGTCTGAAAAAGCAGCTTTAATCACTATCCCATGGACACTACAAAATTTGCCTGACTACTAACCTCTTTTTTGGCTCTTTCTGTTCTGCGCAGTTCTTGCCTTAAGCTCTCAACTTTTTGCATCACCAGGTCCACCTCTTCTTCCTTATCTCGGACATGGCGAGCAAGTTTCTGTTTTTGGGTGTGCAATTCTGTTAGCCGCTCATTGATCTCCATGAATTCCTGCATGGCCAGTTTCCTCTGACAGTGTGCGTCTTTCAGCTCTTTGGATTGGTTTTTTAATCGCTCACTAGCCTGGACTAGTTCCTACAGTTTTATAAAAAGAATATAAGTTACCAATTCTGCAGTGTAAGTACCAAATGTGGCCATCAAAGTAGCTATCATGAAGTCAAGAAGAGCCAAAATTATTCACCTCAAGACAAATTAAAAGAAATATATTACCATCTACTTCTGAACAGATATTAAGAGCATGATGCCTGTTCATACTCTCAGTTCCTTAGGCTAAGATGTTAACTGCAGAAGAACTGATGATTTAACCTTCTAGAATCTTAGTCTCTACAAGTAAATAAAAAGTATAGAAATATAAAATATGATAGCCAAAATAAAGATTTTGTGAAATTTAATGGGTATTTTTGAGATTTAAAAAAAATTAACTTGAATGATTACAAATAATAAAAACAAGGGTTGCTCTTGATGTAGCCACCATGTCCTTAGGCCAGAAGCAAGGAGGAAAAGCTAAACTTCCTGTTAAAGAAGAACCTGGAGGGGCTAAAGCAGTCTCAGGTCAGTAGGACCTGCCTCCCAGCAAAAGGACATGCAAGTCTTCTTCGAGGAAAAAAGCCTCTAGAAATCTGTTTTTTTAAGGACCATGCAAATATGAGTTCACACCATAGATCCCCAAAACCCAAAGAACAAACAACCATAAGCAAAAACAGAAATAATAAAAATAGACCCCAACTGTATTTGGATATTAGAATTATCATACACCAACATAAAATGGCTATGTTGAAATGTTTGAAGTACTAAAAGGAAATCGGCAAAAGACTATTAAAAAATGACCATATTTATTTAAAAACTTCATAGAATATTTAGAAATGAAAAATACCAGTGTTAAAATTAATGACATGAATCCAATATAGGAATATCTACATTTATGAAGCAAGAAAAGTAAAAAGAAACTCAAACCCAGAAACTTAAAAAAAAATAAAGTATAACACCAAATAAATATTAAAGTCCTTAAAAGAAGTCAGAGGAAAAAAAGACAAGTCACCTAGTCTCCATCCTTAAAAAGAAAGAAAGAAAAAGATAACTGGAGTAGACATTTAAGAAGTAACAACAGAAACAGGAAAATATTTTTAGAGAGATGAGAAAATAATTATAATTATATATCCAGAAACATTATTTTTCAAGTATGAGACTAAAATAATGAGATTCATATAAAAAACAATCAGATCTGCACTAAAGGAACCTCTAAAGATTTATTTCAGAAAAGAAAAATGGTTTTTGAAGGTCTAACAAAAGGGAAATCGAGGGCTAAAAAATTGGTAAAAATAAATGTGCATGTAAACAAACATACATGTAAGATTGTATTATAAAATGTCTCGTCTGTACAGTAAACAAAAAGGCTTTAACTAAAATATTGGTGAAAAACAGCACAGAAGTTGGGAACAGGTGACAGAGTTAAAGGTCCTAAAATTTTATGGAAGGACTGGTTTAAGAGATTAAATTTAGACTTTGTTAAATGTATATGAGAAAATCAAGAGTAATTATTAGAACTGCTAGAATGAGCAGCAAGTAAAACAGGAACAACAACAACAATGACAAAAACCTCAATTAAAAATCAAGAAAAAATTTTCAAGATGAATTCTGGAGATTGACTATCAATATGCATGTACTTTACACTAACTCTACACTCTAAAAATGGTTATAATGGTAAATTTTATGTTACATGTATTTTAAAAATCTGTAACATTTAAAATATTTTTAAATCAAGAAAGGAGCCAAAGCATAATAAAAAAAGCATGACAAACAGCAAAAAGTAAAGTGACAGAAACATGTCCATATATATTAGTAACCAAATAAACATCGAAGGGCTAAGATCTTCAGTTGAAGGCAGTTTGCTATGCCAAATTAAGAAACAAACCTAGACTTTAATAGAAAAAGCATTATAAAGGATAGGAAATGTCATCACACATGATAAAATTCAATTCACTAGGAAGAAATGAAACTCTAAACCTCAGTGCATTCCATAAGAATGATTCAAAATATATTAGAAAGATATTGCTAGAACTTCATAGAAAAATCAGCAAATATATCACCATAGTGAGAAATTTGAATTTCTTAATCATTAATAGATAAACCAAGCAGTTAAAAGAATAATGACAATAAAAATTTGAAACGCTCAATTAACAAGCCTCATATATAAGAGCTTGCACCCAATACTGGGAACACATTTCTATCAAGCATATTGAACATTTTAAAATGGAAAAGTCTAGGCCATGAAGCAAATCTCTCAGCAGATTTCAAAGAACAGATATAATACAGATCAAGTTCTTTAATGACATTACCATTAAAATAGGAATAAAAAATAAAAAGGCTAAATTCTATAGTAACTCATTAGTCAAGGAGACACCATAAAGGATATTAAAATATTTAGAACTAAAAAAAAAATTTAGTACAAAAACAAATAAAAATGTTTAATATATACTAAAACTTGGGAGTACAATAAAAGGTATACTTAGGGGGAAATTTATAGCCTGAAATACTTACATTGAAATGAAATAAAAAAAGGTTGAATTAGTGAAATATCCATGAAAAGCTAGTGATAGAACAACACATTAACCCTTCCTCCCAATATGAGGAATAATAAAGGTAAATGCATAAATTAATTAATGACAAAGAAATGTGAGAACAGTAAGGATCAACAAAGTCAAGAGCTGGTTCTCTGAGAAAAATAATAATAGGCAAACATTTGGTGAGATTGAACAGGGGAACAAGAATAAATGCACAAATAATATTAAGAAAAAAGTTATAATCACATCTAGAGGAGGTTCAAAAAGATAAAAGAATACAATGAAAAACTATGCTAATAAATTTGTTAACTTATGAAATGAACATTTCTACAAAATACAATTTATCAAAAGTGTTTAAAGAAATAGAATACCTGAATAGTCTCATAACAAAGTAACAAATGGATAGTTAAACTTTCCCACCCCCACTGGGAAGACAATCTCTGGGTAAAGATGGTTTTACTGGTTTTATAGGCCAATCCCTCCAGTGTTTCAAGGAACAAAACATTCCCCTTACACAAACTTTTCTATTGAATAGAAAAAAGAAGCAATGTTACCCAACTCATTCCATGAGACCAGTATAATTTTGATTGCAAAAAAGACAGAAAGAGGAAAAAAATCACAAGCCAATCTCAGTGATGAAAACATATAAAAAATCCAAAAAGACATTAGCAAATCAATTCCAGTGGTGTATAAAGTGGATAAGCATGAAATTGGATCTAGACTCCTTAGGTTGAAATTACACCACCACCACTTTCTGGCCTATGATCTTGAGCGAGTGTACTGAACTTCTCTGTGCTCAGTCTCACCATTTATAAAATGAGTGTAATAGTAATACTAACAACTAAATCACAGGGCTCTTAAAAAGATTAAATGATCTAATATGTGTAAAGCACTTAAAATAGTGCTATTAAAACAAATGCCAAATAAGTGTTACCTGTGCTATCATATTATCATTTCACATGGACAATTTAGGTTTAACCCAGAAATGCAAAAGTGGTTTAACATTCGAAAAAGCCTGCAAATGTAATTTACCACACCAACTTATTAAAGAAAAATAATCATACAATTACATCAATAGATATTAACAAATTCTCAGAAATTTCTTTTTTAAATGTCTAGAAAAGCACATTCAATAAATTAAATACCCATTCTGGATAAAAAATGGAATAATAAATAGCTTCCTTAACTTGATAAAAAGTATTCACCAAAAACTTACAGAAAACATGGTTATTAGTGGTGGAATATTAAGGTCATTTTCTTTGAGATCAGGAATAAGATAGGGATTCCTGCTAGAGCCACTTCTATTCAATACTGTAAGTCCTAGCTAATATAGCAAGATAAGGAAAGAAAGAAAAGTCACAAAAATCAAAAAAGAAACAAAACTGTTGTTATTTGAAGAAAACCTTAAAAAATCTCAAATATATTACAATATGAGTTTAGCAATGTTGATCAGTGAGAAAATATAATTTTTTAAAGATTACCATTTAAAATGAGAAAAAATAGAATAATAAATTTAAGGAAAGGCAAAACCCATATAAAATTTCATGGAAAACTATTTTAAAAGACTTTAAAGATATGGAGAGACATACCGTGTCTATGGATAAGGAGTCTGTGGTGCTAAAGAAAACAAGTAATGACTATGTGGCATCTTATTACACTGCTGGACAGTGACTGCAATGGAGTATGGCCAGGTGGGGGTGACTCGATAATATGGGTGAATATAGTAACCACATTGTTTTTACATGTGAAACCTTCATAAGAGTGTATATCAACAAAACCTTAATAAAAAAAATTGTGAAAAAAAAGTCTGTGTTGCTGTAGAGAAAATACTTGTTTTTGTAGGTAAGCCTTTCTAAGTAAATTTTACTGAAACTTGGGACCTGGGCTAAAAGCAAGCCTTGTAAAGTAATTTATATATGACTAAGTTAGATATTGAGACAAATCCAAAGAGATTTAACTCCTGGATATACACATTTACATTTCAAGGAGGGGAAGAAAGGGAGGTAAGAGCCTGGACCAGGGAAACATCCTCTTTCTAGAGCTGGAGACTCTGGGCTTATCTTTCCACTGGAGTGATTTATTTATACTCCAAAAGGTCCTGACTCCTTCTCTTTAGGTTTCCAAGGAGACTCAGAAAGGTGGGTGAATGGGGGGAAGCAGGAAGCATCTGCCTCTCTCCTCTATATAAACACCATGACTCACTTTTTCAGGGCTCCCTGTCTACAGACTCTGTATGTGTACAGTTTTATCTATCCAGCTCTCCTTGAATTACTCCAGAGGTAAGGACTGGCACACTTGGGAGCCATGTGATCATTTTTTGCTGTATGTACATCACAATAATCTGCTTTGCTCTTGAAATCTGTGTGTGCATATAGAATAATATTAATAAACATGGACAGTAAGAACTTAAAGAATCAATATTGTGATGATGTCAATTCTCCTGAAATTGTTCTACAGATTTCATGCAATTTTAATCAAAATCCCATCACAGTTTTGGGTTCATTTTAATATATGACAGAAGTGACATTGTACATCTCTGGGGAAAAGACAGCTTAGTTAGTAAATGAACAATGGGTTAGTCATGTAGGAAAAAGTGAAATTGGATCCTTATTTCACATGATACACAAAAATAAATATCTAATGCACTAAAAATTTAAATGTGAATGATAAAAATTAAAAACTTCAAGGTAAAAATTTAGGATAACTGTTTTTTATCTCAGATTTCTTATATAAGCCAGCATATGCACTAACCAAAAAGACAAAGACTGATAAATTTGACTAAATTAAAACTAAGAACTTTTTGTTAATTAACAGGTCTCAAAAAGTGAAAAGATAAACCACTAG